ATGTAAAAGACGAAGTAAGATACAGGACTAGAGTAAAGATCATGCTATTACGCTGTCATTCTGGCGTACTGAATTTTCACTTTTTGGCGACTGAAATGATGGCTGCTCGTCCTCACGTGACACAAAATTACCATAACAATAACATAACGGTTGAAAGACAATAGGATTCCTAACCAGTCTTTTCAATAGACTATGGTAGAATGTAACCTGTACGGTAACTCGTTGGTGACTCATGGTAACTCGTGATAATTTTTCCAGTACTGTACAAAAGGCTCCCTTTATCGGTACAAAAGGATCCTTTTATCAATATTTTATATTAGCGCATGCTTAGAAATGGATTTGTTGTTATAAATTTCCAAATTGCAGGTTTTGATTTTTTAAACATGAAATTTGAAGACACATAAACACGATATGTCTAGTAGATTTTTATCACCTTAACCCCTTCCCCCCGATTTTGAAAATCTTTCAACCTTGAATACTTGTATTGAAGACCCCCTAATATGAACAAATTAGACTTTACCAAACCTGCCAACAACTTCCAACTGTACCCGAGAGTACATTTGTCCTTTAATAACCATCATTCGACTTTTCTAATAATTTGTGGGTTCTACTTTACCATTGTCTTCGTAGTAATAATTTTTTCTGTGGCATCTCTATTCAATTGCTGCTTGACAATTCCAGAACAATCAATTGGATTTAGGCCTGGGCTTCAAGATAGAATTAACACAAGTTGTCAATTGGATTCCTGCATGAACTCTTTTGCTTGCTGAATATAAAATTCTTCATGATTGGACGCACCTTTCTTAAATTGCTCCTATTTTAGGTTCCAAAAAATGACACTTCTGTATATAAGATTTGCAAATTTTCATCTTCTTCCTTTTCCCTCTATATTAGACAATCCTGGCCAAAAGATTAGTGAACTGGTGAAAAAACCACTAAAATTGCAACTTGGCCCCAAAAATATTATCAAAACCCCCCACCCCTGCAGCAATTTTGGTTTTTTCTTAAATACCTAAGTAACAGCAATCGAAAAGAGTAGAAATAAGCCTATGAATATTGACAGTGGGGGGCGGGAAGTGTATTTTTCCAAAAATACTACAAATTGCCAGCTAGTCCAATAACTTTTGGCTAGGATTGCAGGTCCTTGACGTGCCTTGAGGGATAATGTGATGTTCTGTGGGTATCTGACATGCAGATATTACAGAACTCTGGCCTGATCTTGTTAGAAAGAGATATTTTTTATTTCAAATAGTAATAAACGGAGGCAACTCAATACCTGCAGAAGCAAGGCTGTTGCCAGCCTTTTTCCATTGAAAGTATTTGGGAAACCCTCCCAAGTTTGCTACTATACAGGAGTCATAGTCACATGTCTTGACAAAGCGGCAGTTGCACCAACATCCATGGTTGGACGCTCACTTTCACTGGGCAAGATTGTGTCCAGGCGACACACAACCCTTACACAGACTGCTTTCAGGGCAGTCTGTATTAATATTGCTGGCACATCCATAGTTGAAACACCTTTTTATAGAGCAATTTGCTGTGAGATGGGTCCTGCTGTCACCTTTTCGACACATCATAGGTTGACTCTTGAGTCGCACGAGCAAACAGTCAAGTCTTAGGCGTACGTAACTTGGTATCCTCTCAGTCATGGTCTTTTTTTCTTGTTGTTAAAAAAAGTTGCGTTTAAAAATCTCAAGTTGCAGCTAAGTCTTGGAAGTTTTGGCTTGCTGATGGTCTGTCCAAAAATTGCGTTCTGTAGTCATAAGTTACAGCTTATTGGAATGGTCTAGTGAATAAGTTAACAAGCTATCCAGTTGCTCTAATCAGGGTTGCCAGTTTGGATTTTTCTAATCCAATTTCCAGAAATTTGGATTTATGAAAACTTGTTTGGCTTTCAAAATATTATCCTCATATCAAAACATTTTCAAAATAGAGCCTCTAATTGTCAGTTCTGCTGAAGTGATCATATATAGACAAAAGCAAGAAATTTTAGATTTTTATAACCTTTTCCAATTTTCTTCAATGTCCCACTAAATAGTTAGATATAGAGTCAAGCCTAACTACACTAGCAGGATAAAAGTATTGCAACACCTGCAAAGGCGATTAATGGCGGATCACGCAATAGCTTTTGTTGTTGTCTGATTAAGCTATCGTTTAATCAGCCAATGACGCGCTAATAAAATGGCAAATAAACTACTTGTTTAAATAGAGAGTCAAACTTTTCTACATTCTGTGTTATGATAATGGCTGTGTCCATTGTCTTACAAATAAATATGCCTGTTTTGAAAGTTAGCGAACCTGACCTGTGTACGTAATGATCCAAATCTTTATCTCAACTGTGCAATCAGTAATATTCCCATTTACCTTTGTAAATATATTGGAAGGGATGATGCTACCAATAGTGTTTTTCAAACCTTCTCATATAGACTGGTTTATCATTTGGTTTTACTCAACATTGGACTAAGTAGAGAATTATAAAATGCAAGCTGTTAGACCAATCAACATGATACATGAGAGTTGGTCAGAAATTTGTTTTAAATCCTAATCGATCATCTTGCTTAGTTGGCTTTACTTTTATTCTTTTGTGGTTACAATTGAAAGAGATGTAGTGACTGTTAACTTTTCGATGGTAAACTGAATTATAGTTCTAACACCTCTACCTACAATCCTGGCCAAAAGTTATTGGACCAGCTGGCAAATTGTAGTATTTTTGGAAAATTTTGCTCCGTTTGTCTCTAGGAGAGGCCTCAGTTGTCATGGGTTTCTGTGTAATGGTTGGTTGTCAAGGACTCTTTGATGAGGGTGGTAACACCTCTGCTATGTTTTCCTTAAAAGAGGAAAAGATTTTCTCTTTTCCAGATGGATTTGAGAAAGTCGTACCAGCCGTTCTCTCTCCAACCCAAGGTCGGTCTCGTCACACCCGTAGGACATAGAGCCCCCAAAAGCAAGTTTCTTCGCCATGGAACACCTTCCCCTTAAGGTACCTACGTCCACCTATAGGATACCTGCGGCAGTGGGCGTGGGTAGTCGCACCTGCAGGTCCTAACAGTGAGATTTTCCCACAAGCAACGATAAAAAACTCACCCTCCACGTCTTGATCTTTTCCAAGTTCCTCTAACTCCTCTTCACAAGTTAGCCAAAAGGCCGAGAAGCCACCCATGTACTGCAATGCAAGGGCAACCCGTGCTCGCGGTGAGGCAAGCCTCATGCTGACGAGCTAGTTCCGAAAATCAGTGGAATATTTGGGCGCATATCAGATATCAGGCTGATAAGGACAGACATTTTTTTTTCATTTCCTGCCCTCTGATGACACAGTAGGGTTAGGGCATAACAATCATAATCATTTAGTTTATATGTGACAATTTAAAGGGAGACAACTGCCCCTTTTGTGCAGAGGTCCCCCTTGGCTACAACATTTTACTTGACATGATAATTTTTACTTTCACAATTTTACGAAATTAGTTGGGGGACAGGATACTAGTTACAGACATATGGTTGAAATACAGAATTATTGACAATGATACAATTAACAGACAATTCAAACATTACGATCTTCTGACAATATAACGCTAATCATTTAAGGAAGTTACAGAGACTACAGGAGAGAATTTCAGGCTGAGAATGTTCATCTTTTTACTTTGAGACAGAGAGAAAATAGGTTTAACAGCTAGATTTTCAGGGACAGCGCACTGTTTTGTCCCGGTTCATAGTTGATGCATTACATCAAAATTTATACCCGTACGCCTTATTTCTCTTTGTGAGCCGCCAGCTTGTCTGGTATCAGCTTGTCACAGGACTAGCATACGCTAAATTTCGCCCGATATCAGAGGCATAGGTTTTGGGTACGGAAGTTTATTCTATTTTCCGCAAACCTGTATGCCTTGAACTTATTGAGTTGAGAAATCTTCAACTTTTTAACGCTCCGTATGGAAAATTTGATAGCAATGGCCGACTTTGAAGCGAAGCTATGTCAAGAGGTGAAGTACCCCTATATTTACGATTCCTCTCTAAGGGAGCACAAGGATTAAGGGCGAGTATCTAGTTTGTGGTCAGAAATTGTCTTGACATTAGAGACACCTGTTGATATTTCCAAAAAAAATGGCAATATATACAGAAAGAGTAGTTAAGACCCTGTTTACACTAGAACGAATCCAAATGGGTACGGATCCAATTTGGATCCGTGCCAATATTTGCTAGCGTTTACACTCGAACGGATCCATTTCAGATCGCGTTTACACTGGAACAGATCCACAGCCAGGTCCAGCACACAGATCAGTGGTCCAGCCAGGTCCAGCACCGTTTCAGCACTTTGACCTCGCACTGATTACAAAAACGAGGTCATTCCAATATTTCAGTGATTTTTGATGCAAAAACATTTGCAATATCGTCCTCGTGTTTTTGTTGAAGTTGACCAACAAACTTTACATCAATAATGGCTTCAAGAGAAGGGAACTTGAGAGAGGAATCAACGTCAAACTCAAAAACATTCTGTTGGACTGATGAGGAATCTGCATTACTCTTGCAAACGGTGCTTGATTATAAAACAATGAAACTGTCATCGGGCAATGATTGGGAAACTGGGAAAAATAAATATGAAGACATTGCCAAACTATTCATTGCCCATTACCCAGTTGAGGGTAGTGACGAGTTCCCGAATGCTGAAGCAAAGAATAAGTTTACCAAGGACAGGATCGCATCAAAAATAAAAAAGCTTAAGTTGGGATTTCGTAAAGCGATTGACAGTGGAAGGAAAAGTGGAGGTGGGAGGATAGTTGGTGCATTGTACGATGAATGTTATGAAATTTGGTCTGGCAGCCCAGCAGTGGAGACAATTAGTTTAGGGTTCGAAACTTCAACAGTTAATGAAAGAAATGGAGATATTGAAGCTTTTTATTGGATATTGAAGATTCTCCTTCTGGACTGCAGGGCTCTCAAACCAGAACATCTTATGAAGATGGTGTTGATGTTGGTCATCCATTGGTGGAACCAATAAAAACAAACATGAAGAGAAAAAGAGAAGTATTATTGGAATCACTGGAAGAAAGGCGTCATGCAAAACGGCCAAACAAGTTTCTTTCCAGGAGCAATTGATGTCATTTGTGAAAGAAGAGTCATCAATGAGAAAAGACGATCTTGAGTTAAGAAAAAAATCTCTGGATCAGTTTGAAGCTGCGGAAAGAAATTTTAAGGCTTCATTGCAGCAAATGACAGAAGAGATTGCTGGAACCATGAAAGAAGGTTTCATGATGATAGCTTCAATGTATCAGCCACAGTATCAGCAGCAGCAAGGTTTTCAAAACCAATTTCATATGCCTGACAACCAAAGTGGACACCATAATGTGCTGCAGAATGTACACCAAAATTTAAACCAGAATGTACACCAGAATGTACAAAATGTCCACCAGAATGTGCACCAGAATGTGCACCAACATTTACAGAATGTACAACAGAAGGGAGATAACAGGGATACAGACAAAACATTCACAAAACTTCAAAACAGAGAACAGTGCTTTTGAAAAGTAAAACGAAATACTCAACTCAACGAAATAAAACTCGATGGTTACAATGCAGTACTACTTTCTTTATAGACCCAGGGGAAACTCAAGGGGTAAAGTGATCATGGTGACCCTGATCCTCTGACACTTTCGAGGTACCATTTTCAGCCAAAAATCTCCTGGCTCACATTTGGGTCTATGGTCTATCATCTTTAACTAAAAAATCTCCCTCCTGGTGTAAATTTTTGGTTCTTTATTTGACTTACTTGGCCTCCAATTACAGTTTGCAAAATTATCAAGAGATCTGAAAATTTTCTTAAATACTTTTAGGGCATCAAAAGTCTAAAAAGTTTTTACATTTTAGGGTTTGGGGCTCAGATGACTAACTCATTGTGACCCTACTCCCACTACATTCTACCTCTTGAGTCCCCCTGGTCTTATAGACCACTTTCTTATAAAAATCCACATATGATGGAAAAACATTACTTAATGGTTATTAAAATACATTTTATATGTATCTTTGATTCTTTTTGCTTGAATATCTGCGCCACAGTTTCCATTTCTTAACATATGTGGTTGACATTCTCTATCTGACTGAATTGCACCTTGAACTGCCTCTTCTACCATTGCCTCACGATGATCCTCACAGAAGTTGTGCAATGTGAAGCAACTGTAAATTACATGAGGGAGGTCTTTCGTGCATATATCCATTTCACGTCTTAATGCCCCAAAACGAGCTTTAAGTCGACCAAAGGCACATTCAATGGTTATTCTTGCTGATGACAACCTTTGACTGAAGAATTTTTCTTCAAGTGAGCTGGCCCTCCAGCATACTCTTTCATGACATAAGGTAAAAGTGGGTATGCTGGATCTCCTAGCAGACAAACAGGAACACTGTCTTGGGCTTCCACTAAAACCTTTTGGCAAGGAGGTATAGAACCATTTTGCAACATTTTGTTTATGTTTGAGTTTGAAAAAATGCGAGCATCATGCACGCTACCAGGCCATTTGATGACCACATCTAAAAACCTAAACCGGTAGTCACATGTTGCTTGAACATTAATAGAGTAACAACATTAGTAGAGTGCCATCTACAGCACCTAGACATTGAGGAAAACCATGCTTTGTTTCAAAATTCTTTGTGAGCTTAACAACCGACTCAGTTGTTGTAGGCAACTTGATATACTTCGGTCCCATAACTTCAGCCATGACACGATATACTCTTCTGATCACTACTGACACAGTTCCCCTTGCTACTCCGAAAGCGTTATCGACCTTACGATATCTACCTTCGTCCGAAAGATAATATAAAGTAATAGCCACCTGGCTCTCAACAGACAAGGGCTTTCTCATTTGAGTTATTTGCTTTTGTAAAAAAGGTCCTAATTCCTCACAAAGGCCATCAAAACTTTGCTTCAACAGCCTAAAATTTTCGTACCACTCTTCAGGAACAATTTTTTCATCCAAGAAATTTTGCCACCAAGCATTGGTTCTTCCTGGTCGTTGCTGGAATCTTCTTGGCTTGCGGTGTTGAAATCAACGTTTTTGAATAATAATTTGTCGCATCGCATGTTGTAGGCCTGGCCGTCCAATGCTATCCTGCCCAAAAATTTCTGAGGCAAGTCTCCACAGGCGAATTTTATGTTGGGTACATAAAAATGTGACATAATGAAGCCATGTATTAAAACATGAAGCTAGCATCGTGAGCAGAAGGAGGATTTTCTGTTGACATTGCTCATCCATCTTTTTGATTTCTGAATTTGCTTCGAACCTTTAAACTTTTAACTTCTGGCGCCAACAAGAGCCTTTTACAGAGAAATCTATGCCTCGCTTTTGAGCTGTATTCGTTTGAGAACGGTTCCAGCCGTTTACACTAACCTAAACGAGCACGGATCAAAATGAGTACACCTTGAAAAGCGATCCCAAATGGGTCCAGATAGCAGACCCAAATGGGTACGGATCCACAGTTCTAGTGTAAACGGGAGGCCTATCTGTGCTAGTTTGGGTACGGATCAATTTGGGCTTATAGACCCAAATGTTTACAGTGCTAGTGTAGTGTAGGGTCTAAATGTAAAAAAACTGTGAAGAGGAAGAGTGGAGACGAAAGAAAGGGGATATCGAAGTACGATGCACTTTTGGAATGGCTGTCACCCTTTGTAAAGCACAGACAGTCAGACACAAACATCACTGAGTAAGTAGCTAAATCTCAAGCTTGATTTTGAGCTGTTTATTATGAATTTGTTTAACCAAAAGCTTTGGGAAATCTATTTCGCTTGTCATTGCTAATCAAAACTTCATAAACTCAACAATCTTTTGTTTTTTGACTAGACAATCTCAGCAAATGACAAAATTTTTGTCCTTAGAAAAATTTCATAAATGAGTTAAAATAACATAGATAATTGGAAAGAGATGGTAGTTGGTTACTTGAACTTTTTAATCATTTTTGGAGCATTATCTTATCATCCTTTGTCTTTTTTACATTCATTTTTATCTAGCTGCAGTTTTTAATCCAAAAGGATTGTAATAATTGTGTGATGTTTTTTTAATGTTAAAATTACACGCTAAATTATGAAAGAGATGGTCAATTGCCTTTTTCAGTGACCAAGCCCAAAACCTTGATCAATCTGACCGCGAAGTGTCTGAAATTGCATCTCATTCCTCGTGTCCTTCCCCAACTCAATCTTTGCAAGGATGCCAGTCCTCTTTTGTCAGTGAATCAAAGGTAGGGCCCTTTATGTATATTGTCGTCAGCTAAAATATAGAACTGCAATTCTGGCCAAAAGTTATTGGACTAGCCGGCAAATTGTAGTATTTTTGGAAAAATCCCCCCTACCACTGTCAATGTTGATACGCTTGTTTCTTCCCTTTTTCGATTGCTGTTACTTAGGTATTTAAGAAAAAACCAACATTGCTGCAGGGGTTGGGGATTTTGATAATTTTTTTAGGGTCAAGTTGCAATTTTAGTGGTTTTTCACCAGTCCACTAACCTTTTGGCCAGGATTGTGGTTCAAGAAACGCAGATTTGTGACAATTAAAAGGGGTGAAATGCTACAAAACTGTCATATTGGGAAAATTCCAATTGGATACTATCAAAGATCATTTCAGTCATAAATAAACAGTTTAAGATTATTATTGAATCATCAATCATAAGAATTTAAAAATCAAGCTGCAATTTGATGGCACAAAAAGCATATATTTTCACAGGTTCTCACAAGCAAGAAGAGAAAAGCCATACCTTGGGGTTCAATAGCTCTTTAATTGACTTTATATCACAATATTCAATGTTGTTTTGTTAGGGGGGGAAGAAATGTAAAAAGGTTACCCCCCGTATAGCTGTACTTATTTTGACGCATTGTAATTCCATTCATTCGGTATAGTTCTAATTAGAAAACACAAACTCGAGAGTCTTTCTGATATTTCGTTTCTACACCTTCATCGGTCAAGAAAATTCTCTATTTCTTGCAGCTTGTTTCGATGACATATTTCTACCATCTCAATTTTTATTGCATGGATTCTGTCTGCTTGTATTTCTCTCCATGTTCCTGGCACAACATCACCCTGTAGTTCTTCGTCAACCAGCATTGGAGGCATATATCGGGTTTTGGCGTATTTTGAAAATCTGTTTTTGCTAAATAATTGTGTAATGCAATAGATGCTTCCGGTATTGTCACACTATTTTCTGGTTTGGCTTCAATTGTGCAACCAAAAACTCTCCAGCAGGCTGACAAGATTCCAAAAGCATTTTCAGAAATTTGACATGCTTGTGAATGTCTGTAGCTGTAGACCTTCTTTTCATAGGATAATTCTGAGCCTGAAAATTAATTTTGAATTTTTAGGCTACTTTTAGGATATAAATGTTTCTGGAAGCTTGTGTTTCTTGATTGGGACGATGGAAACTTAAAAGCTAAATTAATGAAAATCTCATTGCCGAGGGCACTACATATAAAACAAACAACTGACAATCATATCAAATGTTTTGGATACCATGTTTGATATTATTCCCTGGATAGGGGCGCATCATATTTTTGAGTGGAAATGCTTCATCACCAAAAAAAACGTACAGGGATATCTGCTCTGAACCTGGCAGCGCACTGGGTGCTGGAAGGTCCAATGTCCCTGCGCTCAGGCTCTTTCCAAATACTGAATTTGCAAGGATGCCTCCTTTCCTCTGCCTGCTGTAAGCACCAATATCTACCATCACAAATGAGTATGTGGCATCAACTACAGCTAGAAGTACTATGGAGTTGAACCCTTTGTAGTTGTAATAGTCACTTCCTCAATTTGCTGGTACCTTTATTGCAATGTGCTTTCCATCCATGGCTCCTAGGCAATATTTCCAATAGAGGATAATTCCAATATTTCCAGAAATCGTTTGCGCACTTTTTCCATTTTGCTCATCAGGAAAGCTAAGGAATTGAGTTGATACGGTAAATGATCTGATTTACTGTCTATTTACCGTATCAACCTGTGATGGCTAGGTTTTGGTGTCCATCTCCATGAGCGAGTTATCATAAAGTGAGCACCAGTCTTTCATCTGCTGATATCAGATACCTGTGATTCTTTCGAAATGTTTACTTTTTCTTCAATCTTTGGAAATGTCACTCGTATGTTCAAGCACGGCGGAAATTTAAGAGACATTATCTTCATGGAAGGACCTCTTTGAAGCTGTGGGGACCCCAGCAATGACAGAGGGAATTGGGAAGGGAGGAAGAGGGGAGAAATGTTTAGAGGAAGAGTTAAAAAGACAGGGTGTCATACCAGTTCTTGGTTGGCTGGGCTTCTTCTTCGGTTTCGGTAAGGCTGGATGCTTTTTTAAGGCTGAATGGCTCTTCAAGGCTAGCTGGCTCTTCAAGGCTGGGGGTTGCTCTGAATTTAAATTATCCTCCTCTCTTGATGGGGGTTCCAGAGCACAGGCTTGATCGGGTATGGTCACCTCAGGAACTGGAGTTTCAGGATCTGTGGCTGAGCTGCCAACTTCACTTCCTAAAGTGTCAAAAGCCATTGTAGTCTCTGTTGGTGTCGTGGGAATAGACTCGTCAGTTATCGCACTGAACAAGATGGTGCTCAGGCGACCCACAGTCCTGAAAGAGACTGCTTTTGGGGCAGTCTGCATTAATATGGCCGACACACCCACTGTTAAAACACCTTTTAGCAGAGCAATTGAGGGCAAGATGGGTCCTGCTGTCGCATTTGCTACAAGTCATAGGTTGCCCTTTGAGTGGCACGAGCAAAGAGGCAGGGCCCAGGTGTACGTAACTAGGTATGGGCTCCGTCAGTATCATTTTTAAGGTCATGACCCCATTCAACTTATTTGTACCAGGGTGGTTGTTCTCCCTGGAAACAGAACCCGGCCGAACTGACTGAGCCTCCTCTACAGGAACTCCGGCACAAATTCTGCGTGCTTGTTGAAGTCTCTCACCCAGACAGGGAGAGGGTCTCTGAGACCTGGTTGCCACGGACGCGGGGGATGACGCACAAAGTCCAGACCAAGGAACCTGACCTTGTCTGCTATCGTGGGGAAGGTGACATCAAGGTCCCCATTTGGAAGCTTCTGGACATGCGTGGATTCCAGCATGTAATTCTCCAACTTGGCAATGAGGGCCTTGCAGTCAATGGCCCCCTTCCCCGGGTGATCGCAGACAGTCCTTAGCCTGGGCCTGCCAATGATGTTCATGTGCAGGCCACCAGACCTGCCGACCATAACCTTCGTCACAGGGGCTACAGCTCCTCCAACTGCTGTTGCATAGTTCCTCTGTGGATGGCCAGTATCCTTTGCAAAAGAGGGAAAAGCTGGCAACGGGTGGCTCGAGGCAACAATATCGCTTGTGGGTCCTGTGTACAGGCAGCGATTTCTTGACGGCAGAACTGGGATGACAGACTTACTCAATTGTTGCTGGTGATGCACCAGCTTTCTCTCTCCAATAAAATGTCTGTCTCCTCTGAATGACTCCCCTCTGAGCTCTCCTCCGCTACCATGACTAGATCTTCACTCCCGTAGGGCACAGAGCCCCCAGGAGCAAGCTTCTTGGTTATGCTTCTGCTGCTGCGATATTGTTGCTTCAAGCAGAAGCACTTTCCTTGTTAGGGTACCTGCAGCAGTGGGCGTGGTTCGTTGTACCTGAAGGTCCTAACAGGGAGATTAGAGAGTTTACAAAACACGACGCGACAGGTCGAGACGAGCTGGGGGAGTCTAGTAACTAGCGTGACCATCTCATCTCCTAGCGTGACCAGATTTTCGATTTTTACGTTGTGAGGACAACGTGGACATTTAAATCGTAAGTACACTATCCAGACTTCTTGATTTTGTTAAGATTTGTTAAGGTCAGCGATTTTATTCTTTTTGCATCTGATAATGTATTTTGGTTAGATTTTAAGTAATATTTCTCACTTTTGTAGGCTCATTCACCAAGAAGCTGTGAGATGAATTCTCAAGGACCCCACGAGGCAAAGAACCAAAAGTTCGTGAACATTGTAGTATAATTAATCTACAGATTTTAAAACGGTTAAAGTGCCCCTTCACCTTGGAGGGAGTTTATGAAAACAAAAGACCAATAAAAATAGGAAGTTAGAAAACCATTTTTCGTTGTGTAATTGTAAAGAAATTCAGAAATATAGGGGTTTTATTTCACACCCCTCGCGATGCAGTACCGCGTTTTAAGGGTGGACTGGGAATGAGCCTTAGCTACGTCATACCGGGAACCCATATTGGAATCGTATCTCGACGAAGACCGTGTCTGTGCATACTTTGTTCAATCTTTCCAATATTTTACCATGTCTTCTTCCGAAAGCGATGTGTCTAATGCGAATGGTAGTTATGATTATGAGTCTGAAGAGAATTATGCTATAGAGGTTGAGGGAAACGAGGAAATAGGTGCCGCCGCGGCCGCTGATGTCGATTCAAGTACGGACGATGATAATGGCCTACTCGAATATGATCCCGTTGCGGACGAAGAGTACGTTCGAAATTATGAAAGGGCTATTCAGGAAAGTCGAGAAGAAGAAAGCATCTTATCGAGACGTTTTGAAGGCATTGAACAACTGGACTCTTGGTGAGTTTTTAGTCAAAGACTTTCTACCCCTAGATACCGTATTTCTACAAACCGGAATAGATAGGCACAGACCAAAGTAATAACGATATATTCGAATGTGGGCATGAGTGGTTTTCCATCTCATATTAATGTATTTAGGAATCTAATTAAGTTGAATATATGCGTCGTTGGCATCTTAGGGCTCATTTTTCATATATTCTACATTCAAGCCTTAATACTTGAATACCGAAATACGAGGTGCAAATTTAACCAATTTACACCAAAATCAAAGTATTTATCGAAAACTATAACCTCAAATAACAAACTGGTTGAAGGGGCCCCCTGAAAAGTAAAACTTTTGGGTCTTTGATTGAGCCATATTCCCCTTTTGTACGTAATTTACATAATCCAAAAGTGAATACCTAGAGATATAATAATATAAATGTTTATGTTAAATAGTTACGGATAACTGCCTCATATCTATAAGGATTATGCCTTTTTCTTTAGGTGCAAATGTGGAAACTGTGCTATAGACAGACTTGCCAATGCTAGAGAATGCAAATGCTGCACTGAAATTAAAGGTTGTATATCATCATTGACAACTGTAGAAGTAAGGCAAGATATTGGCGAACAGACTCCAACATGTGTGTTTGAGCACCCTGGGTTTAAACCAGTGTGCCTCAATAAATGGTCCTTAGGGGTGATAGCACAGAGCTTTAAAAAAAAAGACAAAACAAGATACAAGCGTACTGGATTTGAAAATAAGTAAGTGCATTTTTTTCAAATTTAAACAACAAATTGCACTTTCACAAGTATACGTATCCAAAGTTAACAGAGTTTTATATACAGTTAACACATTTTCTATTTTCATAAGGCTAAAGTTGTTAAGGGTACCAATGGTTTTTTCTCCTTTTTTTAAAATTAAATCTAATGTGTGATGGTTTTTTATATGGTTCAATATATTTCATTGTGTTGTGAGTTTTCATTACAAAATAAACATCATTCAGTTTTATCTTTTTCCTTCAGGTTCCTACGAAGTATCTCATACAGATCCTTCACGAGGTTGATACACGGTCGCCTTGGAAACAAAAGAATTCCCTTGCCGGCCTGTGCATATAATGCAATTCGACAAGAATTTCCAGTTTTGGCAGGAAATGCAAAGGGGTTTGAGAGTAATAGTTCAGAGTAAATCTAAGTTTCCAAAAGTAAATTCTTCTCCCTGATACTTTGATACCTTTCTCAACCATACAATTTTAATGTTATTTATTGGTTGGACAGTCGACTTTCTTGTGTCCTTTCATCGGATGCTTACAAACAGAGCATTGAGGCTTGGATCTTTGCTTTGTTGCAGTTTGTACAATTTGGTTAACTGTCATGAAAAAGAAGAAGTTTCTTAATGCTAAGAGGTACATTGTATGTATCTGATTGTATGTATGTAACATATTTTTGCTCTGCAAATCAGGATTGTACAGCATGGATTAAGAAAGATGCTTTTATCATTATTATATGATTTTAACCGAGGATATGTTTGATCAATGGGTTATGAAACAATTGCTGACCTGGCATTGTTGGTGGTACATCAGTAGCAACTAATGATTTTCTTGCAGTATGCTTTTCAACAGCTAGAATTCGTGGCTGTTTCTCGAGTGTAGAGTTCATGGGTGGAGGTGTTTGATCCTTCAACTCATTTATAGCATCCTGTAACATTGTTGGTGACTTGATGCCATTAAGGATGGTCTGATAAATGTCTTCCACATAATCTGTCGATATAATTCAGTAAGAGTTTCCTTAATACAGAATGCGAGAATCCTTAATTCTGAAGCTCAAATTTCCTTGATTGTCTATTGCCATTTGTTTTTATTTAATTCAAAATTATAACCTTAACTGCAGCAGGGCTGTATTAGATTTTTATTGAGTCAAAGTGAAATTCTGTAAAAGCAAATGTGTAATTAGAAAACTTTCAGAAAATTAAGTTTAATGTTAATTGAAAATTTAAAAAAGGAATTCTAACCAAAATTTTGTGCCACTGGAACATCACGTACTGTTGCGGTACCATTTTTGAATTTTGGGTAGGCTACTTTTATCTGCACAGACCCATTCTTCTTTCTTTTTACACCACGGTTGACATTATAATTGAAATGTATTGCAGCTAGAGCATGCCTGGAATTATCCAATTTTGATATTTTAAAGTATATACAAAGTTATTTGAAGTTTTTATTTACATCTCATGAAGCTAATATAAATTTTTTTCAAATCTCTAAATATTTGTAAAATTCAAATTCAAATTCATTGGCATTCAGCAACTAATTACAGGGTACTTAAATTAATTATTATAGTAGTTAATACAGAATATATGACATCTATTTTAGCTAATAACAAATAAGTTGCCTAGGACGCTGGGAGGAACCGAGACGGTTTTCGAGCCTAGCGCCCTAAGTTGGTAATAGTTAATCATGCAGTATAACAGTAACAATGGAACAAGTAAAAGTTAATTACAAGTAGAAACTAATTACTAATAATTTTGATTTGAATTTAACATATAACAGAAGAAGAATAGAAACATATTAAGATTAAGATACAGATATTAAGAAAAAAAGAACAAAATACAAAGGGGCAAGAGGAGAGAACAAGGATATAAACGAAGGGGGGGGGTGACACGAGAGTTCTGTTCGTTTTCAGTTTAGAAATCGAAGAATGAGATATTCGGGTTGGTTTAAAGTAAGTGCATTTGGGTTTTATAAATATTTTTGCAGAAGCCAATTTCGGAGATGTTTTTGGAAGAGTCTTTTGACTGGTTTAGAGCGAATATTAAGTGGGATTTCGTTCCAGATTTTAACTCCATTGAACGTAATGAATCTCTTTTTAAGGTTAGTTCTTGCTTTGGGGATAGCAAAATTTTGTTTTGCAGCTTGCCGTGTATCATAGCTATGTCTTGATGTTGTTTTTTGGAAGAGCTGACAAAGAAAATCCATTTGCGTGCCTGTGTTTACGTCATACATAAACTTTGCACATTGCAGGGTGTAACTATCATTGAGGTTTAATATATCAAATTTATGGTAAATTGGTTTGGAGCTTGCTGTGTTTTTAGCAAAGTTCATTATTCGTAGAGCTTTGTTTAGATTTCGGCCCATAGGTTTTAGGGAGGACAGATTTGCACTCCCCCAGTTAATTAAAGCATAGTTGACGTGAGGCTCGATAAGAGAAAAGTATAAGTTCCTTAAGATTTGTGGAGGAACATAATGCCTAGCCTTAGCTAGTATTCCAATGCCTTTAGAAATTTTTAGATTTACCTGTTGAATGTGTTGTTTCCAGCTAATGTCCTTATCTAAGAGTACACCAAGGTATTTTATACAATCCTTTTGAGCAATTGATTTGTTATTAATTGCTAATTTTATTTCATTTGTTTTATTTTTTATCGAGGGAGAGATTATGAGGAAGTTTGATTTATCAACATTTAAGGTCAGTTTATTGGCTACTAACCAGTCTGAAACTTTGCTGAGCTCATCGTTTACGATGAATTCTAATTGACTTAGATTCTTATGCGAGAAGAAGATACTAGTATCATCAGCAAAGAGGTGAAATTTTAGGATGTTTGACGAAAACGGCATATCGTTAATATATAGAAGAAAAAGCAAGGGCCCAAGGACACTGCCTTGTGGGACTCCAAATTTTATATTGCAGGATTCTGATAGAGTGCCATTTATGCATACTTTTTGTGATCGGTTTGTTAGGTAAGATTTAAACCAATTTAGGGTTATGCCTCTTACTCCATAATATTCAAGCTTGTAGATTAGTATATTGTGGTCAACAGTATCAAAAGCTTTAGCAAAATCTAGAAAGATACAAGTTGAAAACTGTTTGTTTTCAACAGCATTTACTAACTGTGTACAGACGTCGAGTATGGCAAGAGAGGTTGATTTGTTTTTTTGGAATCCAAACTGGTGATTAAAAATTATTTTATGCATATCAAGGAACTTTATTAGTCTGGCATGCATTAATTTTTCAAATATTTTATTAAAAATAGGAAGTAGGGAGATAGGTCGGTAGTTTGTAACTTCAAGTTGAGACTTTCCCTTGTAAACGGGCACTACTTTAGCATATTTCAGCATAGTAGGATAGACTCCCGAGCTAAAGGATTCATTGATTAGATCTGTCAATGGTTCTTTTAAAGAATTGCCAATACATTTGATAAGTTTTACGGGTACATCATAAGCATCTGGGGCTTTAGACTCATTTAGCCTTCCTAGTTCATCATGAACTTCAGAAGGATCAACTGGTGATAAAAAAAAGCTAGCAGCATTTGGCTGTGTTAGATAATCTTTATAGTGACTATTTGCCGGACTTAGTTTATTTACAAGATTTTGGGCGATATTAGTAAAGAAATTGTTGAAAGCATTTGCTACACTTTTACGATCCGATAACAAGCTACCTGCAATATTCAATTGGAAGCTGCGTGAATTTTTTGCTTTATTTTTATGAAGAAGGTCGTTGATGCCTTGCCAAATTTTTTTAGAATTATTTTTATAAGTTTCAAAATAGGACAAGTGATACAGTTTTTTGCTCAGTCTTATGACGTGATTTAGCTTGTTTTTGTAAATTTTATAACGTTGGAACCAGAAATTGTCTTTAGTTTTAATAAACTTTTTATAGAGTGAATTTTTAGTTGAAATAGACTTTAAGATACCGTTGGAAATCCAGGGTTTAAGCTGTTGTTTACGTTGTCGTCTGGTTCTTTGTCTCAGTGGGGCGTGTTTATTAATAATAGTTAACAGCTGAGATTGAAACAAGTTATATTTTGTATCTAGGTCATTTGAGTTTACAAGACTAGAATTAAAATCTATTTTATTGATATCATCTATGTAATTTTTATTAACAAAGTTTCGATAATCTCGCGACATTGATATGTCTTGGTGTTATTTTTACCTTTTCCATCATAAATTACGAAATTGGGTAGATGATCTGAAACCTTATCGATAAGATTTCCACTAACTGCGTTCAGTTGAAGAGAATTGATGAATATATTATCAATTAAACTAGGAGTAGAAGTATCATTTATTCTCGTTGGTTGGATAATTAATGGTTTTAGAAAGTTTGCAAGCATTAAGTTAAGAAAGGAATCAGCACATGGTATTTTATCAAATTTTAGAAGGTTAAGGTTGAAATCTCCGCTTAGTATGACTAATTTGTTTTCTCGGCCTATTTTGTTAAGAACAGTTTCAAGGTATTTTAAAAAACCTGAAGAATCTTTGCAGGGATGCTTGTATGCAACACCGATCAAGGTATTTTTTCCCTTAGGGTTATTAATCTCAATCCAGAGTGATTCGAATTCGCAATTTTTATCTTTTGAAGCTTTTGAAAGATCGTCACGTCGAAGAAAAGATAGGTGGTCAGCTAGAAAAAGGCCACAGCCACCCTTAAGGCTATTGCCTGTTAGTCCTTGATAGTCATGGTAGCCTTCTAACCTGAGCTGACTTATACAGGCATTGTTTTGCTTGGTGTGCCAAGTTTCAGTAAGTGCTAGAATATCAAATCTATAGTCAAGGTTACAGAGCAGAGTTTGTAGGTTTCCAAGATTTTTCCGGACGGAGGAGATGTTTGTGTGTAGAATACCCGAGGTATTATTTTTATTTAGGTTTAGCTTTTGAGTAAGTTTATGGAATTCATGGTTATCATAGTAGTTAAAATTAGTGCTGTCATCTAGATTGGTATCAACATCATTTTTGAATAGCATTTCGTGTTCTTTAAAAGCTAGTTTACAAGTTTTAAGGCTATCAAGGTGACTATAGTTTACTAGGGAGATACCCGAGGATTGACATTTACACGAGAAATTGGAGTTGAAAGAAAGAGTAGACAGTTCATCGTTGTCGATCTGCGAGAAAGGAAGTGAAGATAATAGACTAGAGATGCAGTGTGGACATTGCCAAGATGTTAAATGAGAATCAACTTCATTTATACAGAAAGTGTTTAACTTGGCACATTTTTTGTGAATGAGATGAAGGCATTGACCACAGGGAATGGAATTTATGGCAGAGCGGATAGACTTCTTACAGACCGAACAAGTTTTGTCATATCCTGTTGATGCAGATGTGATAAGATTGAATTTGGAGACGGATTTAGCACTTGCAGTAAAATTAAGCTCCCTATTGAGTTTGGCGTCATCAAGGTTTTGAAAAGGAAACACGGTGTTGCGGCATGGGCGGCAAGACCAAGTACTAACTTCGTCGTTTGCGAGAATCTTAAAATCCTTTTTTTTTAAACCTGAACATTTTAAATGAAACCAGAAATCACAGAAATCACAACAAATTGAGTTGTGATTATCGCAGACTATTTTTTTACACCTAGGGCAGAGTCTGTTTTCACTCATTTTTATTTTTAAGGGTTGTTTGTAGGTATTTGAAAGTTACATAAATTAGATATAAAATTAATAAAAACTGTTTTTGAATAATGGCTGAACAGAGGAAAAGGAAAAAAAGTATCTCACTCTATTTTATCCAGGTCCGCAATGAAATTTACCTTAAGGGCTGGGGCCTTTTCATCTTTTCGTAAGAATATTGAGCCATTTCGTGTCCAGATGAATTTAATGTTCATTTCTTGTTTTTTGATCTTCGTTAGGCGCAGTAGGTTTTTGAGACGGCTGGTCAGGCTTTCGTTGATGAAGATTTTTCCTTTGTTTGGGTTATTAGGGTCGGGCTGCAAATCGTAACCGAGATCTGTGGTGCGAAGTTTCTTAGCTTTGGTTTTTGACTCTTTTGACATGAATTGCTCCTTCTTTTTCCTCGATTTGAATTTGACGATTATAGGGGCATCAGGCCTGCGTGAAATGCGATGGCATGCTTCGATGTCGTCTTCCTTTAGTGGGATATCAATTTTTTCTGCTATGTTAAGGACTATTACTTCACAATTTTCCTTATCATCGCGCGGAATACCACCAAACTCGAGCATTTCTCTCCTACCATACTGCTCAAGGTCATCAATTGTTTTAGCACGTTGATCGTCTTTCTTCTCTAGCTTGATGATACGAGAGGCCAAACTTTCGTTTTCCTTTTTCAGATCAATGTTCTCACGCATAAGATTCCCAACTTGTGTCCGAAAAGTTTCGTATTGGTCGGCTTGAAATTGTTGAGAGTTTTCAATGT